GCCCATATGGGTGCTGGTTTGTGTCCTAGTTTAATCCAGCTCCTTGCCCGTGACCTGGGAATTCAGTAGAGGATGGCTTAAAATTTTGGGACCCTGCACCCACATGGGAGACCCAGAAGAAGCTCTTGTCTCCTGGCTTTAGATCAGCCCAGCTCTGGCTATTACAGCCATCTGAGAAGTAAACCAGAAGATGGAAGATCTTTCTCCCTCTCCTATCTGTAAATCTGCCCACATCCCACATTGCAGTACCTAAGTTCAATTCCCACCTCTGAATTTCAGCTTTCTGCCACTACAGATTTTAGAATGACTCAACTCGGGTGGCCAAGTCCCTGCTGAGTATAAGAAGCACTGTGACTGAGTTCTCAGCTTTTGGCTTTGGCCTGGCTTCCTTCTTGCTATTGTGAGCCTTTGAGAAACAAACCAGTGAGTCAGTGCTGTTTGCTTCTCTCTCTCTCTCTCTCTCTCTCTCTCTCTCTCTCTCTCTCTCTCTCTCATCTCCCTCCTGGTCTCTCTCTCATCTCCCTCCTGGTCTCTCTCTCATCTCCCTCCTGGTCTCTCTCTTTCCCTCCCTCCTTTTTCCTTTTGAATTAAAAAAGAATATGTGGGGCCCAGCATGGTAGCCTAGTGGCTAAAGTTCTTACCATTTCGTACACTAGGATCCCATATGGGCGCCGGTTCTAATCCCGTACACCCCACTTCCCAAACAGCTCTCTGCTTGTGGCCTGGAAAAGCAGTTGAGGACAGCCCAAAGCCTTGGGACCCTGCACCTGCGTGGGAGACCTGGAAGAGGCTCCGGGCTCCTGGTTTTGGATTGGCTTATCTCCAGCCCTTGTGGCCGCTTGGGGAGTGAATCATCGGATGAAAGATCTTCTCTGTCTCTCCTCCCCTCTGTATATCTGACTTTACAACAAAAATAAATAAATCTTAAGAAAAAGAATATATATTATTGTATTGTGGTTTTGTGAACTGCTTTGGCCTTAATTTCTGTTGGATATTGTAGTGTAGTATCTTTATAGCTTTTCCGCAAAGGATAGTGGCAGTAGCAGGGATCTGAGGCATTTCTGGGCCCAGTGCAGTTGCACAGAGCCTTGGCATCTATTTGCTCAGTTGTTGTCCATGTAAGAAGCACAAGGTGCATGATTGGTAGTGGTGCTATTTGGGGCAGGCATTTAGACTCCCTTGCTATTGTCTGTGCAAGGCATGCAACTTTAAGACCAGCTGAACAAACAGCTTCCCTCTGTGTGAGGTCCTGAAGTAGCAGTAGCTGATTAAGTATGGAGTATGCAAACTCCATGTTGCTATCCAAATGAGAGTCCAAAACTTCAGAAACAGTACTGGCTCATGCACAGTCCCAAGATCTGGCAGAGTTCCAAAAAGCTGTTGGCTGACCAGCCTGCCATCATAGGAGACCTGACTGGGAGTCCTGGTTACTTGAGCACCGCCACCACTGCTTTCACTAGGTGTCAGGAGGAGGTGTGTTATAAAAAGTGGGTTTGAGTCTGAGAAGACAGGATAGCACAATTCTAGTGTCCATGCTGTTCTGCACCCCTCATCTTTTGTGGTACACAGCACTGTGTAGGTTACGGTGCAAGGGTCACCATTATTCTGACAGGTCTAGTTGGTTCGGTGAAGCTGCAGCAATTTGTTTTGCTAGTGTGGCAGAATGTCCACGGGACCCTATGGATGGAATAGACAGGGGTCTCTATCATCCAGGGTTAAATTCTGGCAGTGACTCCCTTCTCAAGATGAGGCCACACAGCTACAGTGCCTATGCTTTTGCAGTTATGTAGGATATACTGCACTTAGTTCTTTTTTTTTTTTTTTTTTAATTGGAAAGGCGGATATACAGAGAGGAGAGACAGAGAGGAAGATCTTCCGTCCGATGGTTCACTCCCCAAGTGAGCGCAGCGGCCAATGATATGCCGATCCGAAGCCAGGAGCCAGGAACTTTTTCCAGGTCTCCCACGCGGGTGCAGGGTCCCAAAGCTTTGGGCCGTCCTCAACTGCTTTCCCGGGCCACAGGCAGGGAGCTGGATGGGAAGCAGGGCCACCGGGATTAGAACTGGCGCCCATATGGGATCCCAGGCGGGCAAGGCGAGGACCTTAACCACTGCGCCAACGTGCTGGGCCCCACTTAGTTTTTTAAACTAAACCAACTGATCATGAGATCTCCATTCTGGACTGCTGGGCTGTGATGGCTGTGGATTCCTCCTGTAGCTAGGATTGCCTGGTAAGTGATCACACATATTGGTTCTCCTGTGGCTCTCTTACATACCCTCCTTGCAGTGGGGACTCTCCCAACCCTAAGATGGGGATCTCAGTTGATGCCTGGTTCTGTTCTTTTCTCTTTGCTGCAATTCTGGGTCTCTTCAGGCACCTGCTACCCCTTTACTGAATTCCATTTTCTTCACTGAGCATGCACCTCCAGATGTGGTTACTTGTTTGTGTTTTGGTTCTTCCGTATGGAGGAAGAGGTGAAGAGCAGTCATCTATTCAGCCAGCTTGGACTTCCCTCTCTATTACTATTCTCTAAATGAAATACTGTACTCTAGTTCAAGATTCTAAGTACTGTCACAGACTAAATTCTATTTTATTTGAAACACATATTTTGAAACTTTAAAGTAGAAATGACACTTCTTATTGAAAAACGTTAATGGAAAACATAGTAGAAAAAACCTGATATTTGTTGATACCTCAAAAATAGTCTACATATGTTACAGTAGTACATTTAGCTACTTTATGCATTTGGTTTCTTGCATAGTTTCCAAAACATTCTAGAAGACAGTAAAACTTAAAATGGAGTCATCTGGAGTTATTTATTTTATTTTTTTATTTTTTTAGTGTTTTAAGAAAATTCCAATCTTATGTTGTCCCTTGCATTCCCAAGTGCTCCAAACAGTTAACATTCATGTTTGTTATGTCTTATCAGGAGAAGAGTCATAACTGTTTTATTATTCAATTCAATTAGTGACAAACGCTTCAGAGGAATTTTCCTGAGGCTGGCATTGTAACAATCTGGTTAAGCTACTGCCTGCTACTTCAGCAATCACCTTGGAGCATCAGTTTGAATCTTGGGCCTCTGCTTTTGAGCCTGCTCCATTCTCATGTAACTGGGAAAGCAACAGAAGATGATACAAATGCTGGGCATCCTGACACTCAGGTGGGAAACCCAGATGGAGTTTTGGGTTCCTTGCTTCAGTCTAGCCCGGCCCTGTACCTGCTGCATGGTCACTTAGGAAGTGACACAACTGATCAAAGATCATTTTGTGTCTCCTGTATCTGCCACTCCACATTTCAAATAAATAAAAATGAGTCTTAAAAAAATAATAAGTTTTCTTTTCACTCTCTTCAGGATGTGGTTTTTCTTCAGTCAGAGGAAGTAATTGTTATCCTGCAGCAAACCATGTATAAGACTTGGTAAATGTTGGTTAAAATGGTCAGCTATGGTTTCTGCCTCAACCATCTGGCTCCTTTAGGCCCAAACAGAGGCTGCTTATCTATGGGGGAGAATGTCCTGTAGCACTGACTTCTGGTCCTGTGTCCATCTGCAAATGACAGCACTGCATTCAGAAACACTGAGAATGCCACAGTGCAGAGATGCCATTCTTTCATCTGGAGGATGATGGGCAGAACCAGAAATTTTTTCTTTGTTCTCTAGTAATAACCAATATCTGTTCTCTGAAACAGATGCTTCCTGGATGGAAGACGGGACTCCATTGGCACTGCTGACCTAAAACCATTAGTAACCAATTAGAATTTAACACTGCCCTACCCCCTGCTGCTGTCTAGTTTTTCATCAAAGAAGGCTGAGGAAGTTAAGTTATATTACTCAGTGTTGCATCTTTGTAAGAGTATGTATTCTATAGTGCTTTGGATTTTTAACAATGCATCACTTAATCACAATTACAGGAGAATTAGTGTGTGGGAGGCAGAAGGGTAAGCTGGTCATTGAGCTTTCTGCCCACTGATATGATACCCTTGTCAACCCCCTTGCCTCAAGACCCAGGCCGTGAGGGGTTACTCAGGCCTATGAATGTATTTAAGTTCCATGGAGAGTCTCATGTGATCTTGAAAAAGTTCACATCTGTTCCAGGAAAGGACCTTGAGGAGATTATGTGGAAAGGGCTGAGAGTGATTCCGGTGGACAGCCAGCAAGAAAGCAGGAATCACAGTCAGACAGCTGCAAAGAAACGAATTCTGGCTGCAATCTGAGAGCACTTGGAAGCCTGTTCTTTCCCAAGCTCCTTCAGATGAGGACTTAGCTTGGCTGACACAATGATTTCAGCCTGGTGAGGCTCTGAGCAGAGGCCCATGCCTAGACTTCCCATCTACACAACACATGCTACAGTAACTGGGTGTGGATTAAAGCCATTACATTTGTGGCAACTTTTATAAAGAGAATAATAATCATAAAAGAATAAGTAGATAAGGTAACTATTTCACCAGCAAGGAGGCTTGTTCAGAGAGATGTACTGATTTGCATAGTATCCTATTATTTTAACCTGAAAATTAGTAACTGAAGTGAGATCCTTGGATTTTCATTTTTACTTTAGCATTCTTTCCACTATGCCTTTTAAAAAAAACAATTATTTATTTTTTATTGTAAAGTCAAATATGCAGAAAGGAAGAGAGAGAGAGAGGAAGGTCTTCCATCTGCTGAATCACTCCCTAAGTGGTCTTAATTGGCTAAGCCAATCTGAAGCCAGGACCCCGGAGGCTCTTCCAGGTCTCTCACACAGATAAAGGGTCCCAAGGCTTTGGGCTGTCCTCAACTGCTTTCCCAGGTCAGAAGAAGGGAGCTGTTTGGGAAGTGGGGCTGCCAGGACACAAACTGGCACCCACATGGGATCCTGGCATGTGCAAAGTGAGGACTTTGGCTGCAAGGCTACTGCGCCAGGCCCTATATTGTGTGCTTTGCAGTCATAAGTGCTGTTGGTTGATTTTCTTCACCCATGGCTATAAATAAAATGGAACATGATGTTCTTTTAAAGAGCTCAATACAAAGTAAGCAATAATTTTATTAATCATCACACCAGTTCTACAGTATGATAAAAACATTGATCAAAATAATGGTATATGCTAGCCTGATAATAACTTAAAGTAATCTTGAATCCAAAGTCAGTCTTCATCACTTAAAAAATAGTATTCTGAGTAGTCAAGACCAGGAAATGTGATAGGTACTTCAACCCACTTTTTGTATTGTTTCTTTTCTGAATTAGTTTTGAAAGATACTACAAAATTTTTTATCTTGAGACAGGGCAAATGTAAGCCTTTGTGTACCATCATTGTGCCCCAATCCTGAAAAACAAGAGAGGGAGGTGGAAGAGGGAGAGAGAGAAAGATAATTAATTGCACATTCAGTTCAGTATTCTTTTTGATCCAAATAAACCAAGCCCATGGCAGTTTACTTACTTGGCCACATTTGCATATAATCTCTCCATTTATTTGGTAGTCAGCAAATTTTTTCTGTAGGGCTTTGTTTTCTCTCACAATGTAGAGTTTCCTAAAATCATCAAGGATGAATAATCCTTACTGAGAATTGGTAAGTCATTACATATGCAACCCACAGGTCCTCGTCAAAGAACTGACATGTAAACCGATGTCTACATTAGCCCATGTCCCATTCCTACTTCCCCTCCTATTTCCCAGGATCATCATGGCAAACCAAATGGATGCCTGCCCTTGAGAGCAAGTGCTGCCTTCAGTGACTTCTTTCAAGTCTGTTACTTATTTCACTTTCAAAAATTTTAGAACAAAATTCTACACAAATTTTGTGCCCCGCATCAATGTGATTCTGCTCTCAATGTTTCTCCCTTCCTGAGCACAGTGTCATGCATAATATTTAATATTTTAAAATAAACATTGGAAATGGGCATATAAAAGGACAGGAAGTACTGAAGGGGGAAGTCTATTGAAAGAACACTGAACAAACAATTTGCTCTTAATAGAAACTTAAAAAATGGGTCTTTCCGGACTCACTTGAATTCTGATGTCATATTGACATGATGCATCTTCTCAATCACATGGATATCTGCCCCAGAGCAGGCTAGTGCATTGCAGTTTTTACAGAGCAAATTTATTAATGATGGATTGCCCTTGCAACGCTTTGCGTTATTTCTCTTGATTTTCATTTTATTTTCCATTATACTTTGCATCTGTAATTCCAAAATCTGCATAGAAAAAGGATTGGTTTTTCTAAGAATTTTTTTTAAGTAAACACTTTTGTTCAAATAAGCTTTTTAGAATCTAAAGATCTCAAATTGTTATGAAAACATATATATTTGACTCACAATTTAAAGTCCAATTCTTATAATGTGGCAAAAATTGCTGTGTCATTGCCAGGAAAAAAGATTACAATCTTCAACTTGATTCTTGAAGTATGAATTTAAGCAGACTTCAGTTATATATTAATTTTGCATATGACTTGGAAAATACATTTTACCTTATGCATCAGTTACTAGTGATTGCCTGACACTATTCTGAGAAAGATTCTTAAATGAGAACTAAGGAGCTGTTGCCTGCTACAGTGTCTACCAGGGACATAGTAGCTATGACATGCACCTTACCTCATGCTTTTCTGGAGAAGATTTTTTTTTTAAACAAAAAAGACCCCAAAAGGCAGTTGGTTCAGAAGTTCTTAAGGGATTGTGTCTTATTTTAAAGTATATGGAAAAGTTTGACCCATAAACTACAGAGATAGTTCTGGGTTGCACCCCAAGAACAGTTTTAAAACATCAGCCTTTGTAAATAGCTGCTCAGTTCACGTTCTTAGGAAATGAAACGTGAGGCAGAAACTTTCTAGTGGAATCATTTGGTGACAAAAGTTTGATTTGATACTCCAAAATGTTTGGTTTGCCTTCTATTTAAAAGGGTTTTAAAATACAAGTTTGTGTAGAAACCTGGCCAGGAAACCTTGGAGTTGGTTACAGCTTTGCACACCAATTTGAAAGCATCCCTTTTGTGAAACTCTATTTAGGGTAGAGCCAATTCCAATGTTAAGAAACTAACATTCACACCCATATGCAAGGGTGTGAATTTTCTTCTAAATGGATTGTTTGCTATTATAGTAGTTACAGTTTTTAATTCAGTGGTATGGGGGATTTCCTGAAATATTGTAGTGATACATTCTTCCTTCACCACATTCTTTCACATGACTCCAATAACTCTGTGTTAGTAAACTGAGCTGTAGCTAGAACACATGTTATATATTTCCTGATTATTCAGATGGCAGCCTCAGTGTCACTCCCACAATGCTACCTTCCTCAATCACTCAACATTAGTTCCAAGCTAGTGAGTGGCTTTATAGTCTCCTGACACAATTTTCTAGCATTTTGTTCAGCATGATGTACACCTAGCTTTCAAAATTTTGTTCATTGTTTTCCTTCTTCAGAACTTGCCAAGCACATACTAGAATATAAGCTTCATGCAGCAGGGTTCTTCTCTGTGTAGTTTGCCACCACGTTTGTTGTTCCTAAAACATTGCCTGACACATAGTAGGCACTGTATAAATATTGCTGGAATAAAAATGTGTGCTTATACAAAAGGTTTGGATCAAACTCAAATGACCAGATTGGGTTGAATGGGTGAGTTGTGCTAGTTTTTCTGGATTAAAGGCAGACTAAATTTATACCATCAAATTTATTGTTGGTTTCACTGGAATGAGCAATGACTCCATGACAACATCCTGCCTACCATAGATCTAGACTTTTTGTTTGTGAATTGGGACTACACACAATACATCAATCCGAAACCTACAATTCAGCACAATTTTTGTCTGGAGACTTAACCACAGGGTATCAAACGCAACCACACAAAGCCTTTTTTTTTTCTTTAAATAAAAACTAAATTCAGAAATATCCAAAACCAATACCTTATGATCATACTCTTCTGGTTTCATATTTTGAACACGATGTATAGCTTTATACATCATCTCCTCTCGGAAATCGTTCACTGTCTCACGTTCAACGACTCCTGAACCACTGCCATCCACCAGGACATAGGTGCTCTCATTAGCTCTGGCTCGACCACGGGCCTGAGAACATAAAGAAATCAAGAAAATGAAAGGCTGTGTGCTGCACGAACTCTACTGGTTTGGGCCAAGAATGCTATTCGCCACTCAGCATTCCACCCTTCAAATGATCTCCTTGTTCTTAGTAAAGCTAGTTATTATCTTCCTTGTAGCTCAACTCTGAAACTTGAAAAATGCTTTATTATAGAAACGATGTTCTGGAGTGATGATCGCTGGGCCCGTTTACTAGCCTTCAAATGCTATCTAGTTCACTTCTTTCAGTCCTAAGAACACCTCTCTCAAACTATGGAAACTGTGTTCAGTGCCTATGCTGGGGTTCTCCGGTCTGACCTGAGGGATATATGGGGAGAAGGAGGCACTTCTGCCCTTGGCATCACACTGGTGAGAGTGAGTGTCTGTTCCTGGCATTCCACATTGGAATTTGAGCACATTTTCTCACAGAAACAAACTCTGCATAATGATGGGTCTAACAAAGTGGTGCACAGATTGATTATCAGGAACAGAAATCTTTGTGTCCTGACCCAGGAGGCCAATGCTCAACTATAACGTTATCCTCAAGTAAACTCCATTCTGAGCAACAAGTTACTCACTCATAAATCAGTTCTTGAAATAAAATTACTTCCTTATCTGATGGCCATATGTTTATCTTGGTCTTATATGATTTGCTTTTCATCCAAGAATGCAATGTGGTATTGAAAAACAATAATACCTGGTGTGGACTGGGATGCTAGCATCCCACAAAACTATGCTCTGGATTCAGGTATCCTGTTAATGTGCATCTTGGGAGGCAGCAGGTGATCGCTTAAGGAGTTGAGTCCCTGCCACTTACAAGGGAGACCTGAATTGAGCATCCAGTTCCTGGTACAGTTCTGGCCACTCTAGCCATTTGAGGAGTAAACCAGAGGATGGGAATTCTTCAATCATTTGTCTCTGTTTCTTTTATCACTCTGTCTCTCAAATAAAAATAATTGTAAAATAATTCCTTAGTCATATTTATGGAAAGAAGATTATGTCAATCATATTTTACGTACTCAAAAGTTAACACTGATATTGTTGTTAATATGTGAAAGTGGAACATCTTGCTTCTTTACCTATTTATTTATGTACACATTTATACCTCCATCTTCATCCAACATATTTTTTGTGAAAAATTTCAAAGATGAAGGAAAACTGAAAGCAGGAAGGAATAAAATGAAGAAAGCATGAGCTCCCTGGAGCTTGGACATATGCCTTTGTAAGACACACACCTTACAAATATGTACTTCTAATTTTTAGTGCAGGTGGGGACTCACACATTAAGAATTAGCAGGTCTCTTTGCACTCCTTGATATGGAGCTAGTATGATGATTTTGGAGAGTCTTTAGACAGAAATAACAACAATGAATAGCTTTTTAAAAATGCAACAGGTGCCTGGCTGCACATGACTTGAATAACAATAATCAAATAGCCAGTACTGCACAATTCTTTAATGTTGCACTTTTTTGCAGGAGAAAGGGACATATTTATATATATATATATACATATATATACACATATACATATATACATATGCACGTATATATATATCCCTTTCTGTTGCAAAAATATATATGTGTGTATATATGTGTATATGTATATATATAACCATTTCTCCTTATCTCTTCATAAACATGTATATATACATGTATATATATGTATATATATGTATATATATAAAGAGAGATTATGTGCCATTTCCCTCAAAGAAAGCAATTAAAACAGGAACATGGAAATAAAAACTCAAAGCATTAGGAAGAGGTATTTGAATATACCTGGACCATGGCAATTTCATTAGTGACATGACCATAACGGATAACGACATTGCATTCTTTGATATCCAGACCTTCCTCTGCCACTGTGGTAGCGATAAGCAGATTTATTTTTCCAGTGCGAAATTTACTAATGACTTCTTTTTGTTCGTTCTGTAGAAACATTTTAATAAATTAAATTTTGTGATGCTAAACACATTAAAATCTTCTAATTAAGAGAAGAAATAATAAATTGCAACTCGTCAGTGTAAATCAAAGGATTAGCTCATTCACGAATTTACTGCCATCTGTTTTTGGCATTGAACAAAGACATGATGGGGAGACAACATTTGATTTCCAATCTGGGATTATCACACAATAACAAAAATATTTCCATCCTCCAGTCTGGAGGTGGGAAGTCCATAATTTATGCCAAGGAAATAAATCGATTGGTGCCTTGGGATGAAGAAAGGAGGAGAATATGCTTTGGTTAAGGGGATATGGTCTTGGGAGAAGCTACAATGGGCTTTTCTTTTCACTGCATTAATGACAGAATCTTCAGTATTCAGAGGATAAGAGGTTGTGATGCTTTTATAGATTGTTGATTTAAGTACAGAGAAAATTCACACCATGTGCTGTATTTGCTTACTTTAAGAAACATTCAAGTAGGAAGCATATAGAATACCCCAGAAAGGAAGCATGAGAAACTACGACCATCTCTGCCTCTAGAGAGGGGAGGGGGAGGACTACACAGGAGCATGCCCCTTGTCTTACTAATTTTGAGTGGAGTAAATATAGCATATCTTTAAAGGGGGACAAGTAATATGCTCAACTTCATTTAAACTAGTAATTTTTAAATGACAAATGTCTTAACTTTTGAACATAATACAAATAAATGAAAATATGCCTCCAGGGCATTGCATTGCAATAATGGTTGGACACAAACCTAATCTGGTATGTTTAATGTAGTCTTATTTTCTACATCAGAACTTTCCACATCATCACTCAGTGCCCAGCATGGTAGCTTAGTGGCTAAAATCCTCACTTTTACATGCACTGGGATCCCATATGGGCAATAATTCATGCTCTAGCTGCTATACTTCTAGCTCTTTGCTTGTGGCCTAGGAAAGCAATTAAGGACAGCCCAAAGACTTGGAACCCTGCACCCACATGGGATACCCAGAAGAACCTCCTGGCTCCTGGCTTCTGATCAGCTCAGTTCTGGCCATCACAGCCACATGGGGGGTGAATCAGCGGATGAAAGATCTTTTTTTCTCCTTCTCTCAATAAATCTGACTTTCCAATAAAAACAATAATTAAATCTTTTAAAAAATACGAAGACTAAACAAAGTTGGTTCAGTTGGTATTTGTTATACATCTGCGCCATCTTTTTGTTTCCATGCATTAAGCTGAAATAAACCTGCCAGACCAACAGCGTGTGGCCCTATCACCTTCCCTCTTTCCTCAGAGGCAGCACAAATCCTTATTTGACTCCTAACTGCTGGAGAACACAGAGTGGAAAGCCCCATAGAGAGTTTCTTCAAATCACTTCTCCTTTTTGCCTTCATAGCCACTGAGAAAAACTTACGTGCCTTAGTTCTTTAGCAGGTAACCACACTTAATTCAAAGTAAACATTGAAACACTGCAATTTCACACAGTGTCAAGTCATCAAATCGCATCATGCCCAACTTCTTTTTCATTAAAGATTTATTTATTATTATTTGAAATGCTGATTTACAGAGAGAGATGAAGAGAGGGAGAAGAGAAGAAGAGGAAGAGAGAGAGACAGAGATGTCATCTATCAGCTGGTTAGCTCCTTAAAAGGCTGCAATGTGCAAAGCTGGGCCAGTCCAAGGACATGAGACTGGAGCTTCTTCCAGGTCTCTGAAGTGGATGCAAGGGCCCAAGAATTAGGGTCAACTTCTGCTGTTTTCTCAGGCACTGTAGCAGGGAACTGGATTGGAAATGGAGCAGCTGGGACTAGAACCTATGCCCTCATGTGATGCTAGAGCCACAGGTGGAAGCTCTACCTACTGTCCTCTTCTAGTGAGTGAGTCTACCTCATTCACAAGGTAAGAATATAAGGAGTGAGAAAGAGTAAGCTCTGCATTTTGGCAGGCAGCCCCTTGTTTCAAAACAGAAAAGGAACAAAAAGTAGCTTGATAAAACTTCCTATTTGCACTCTGCTTCTTTTCAAAGACGTGTTGATGTCACTTACAGTTAAAATCATACGACTGAAACTGTATTACAGAAGCTGAAAAGCAGTGCTCATAGTGAAAGAGCACAGATGGGACAAAAAGGACGAACACAGGGACCTAGATTTAGTTTTGCCTGGGAGCTTCCTGCAAGGTAAAGCAAAAAGAAAAATACTCAGGCAAACTAATTATTGTTTGTAAAGGGGAAACAAATTAACTATGAAAGGAAAACAATGCTTTCTCTGGCACTCAATTTTATAGATAACTTTTAGATGAGCTCATTTAGAGGGTATATTAAGAGTTACAGGGGACAAATGCAGGTCCAAACAGTGGCTCCATTGCCTAATCCCTTGCAAGCACTCAGATCTCATATAGGCACTGTTTTGTGTCCTAGCTTCTCCAGTTCCCATTCAGCTTCTGCCTATGGCCTGAGAAGCCAGTGAACCATGACCCAAAGCCTTGGAACTCAATGCACACGTGGGGAGACCCCGAAGAAGCTCCTGATCCTGGCTTTGTATCCACTCAGTTCCAGCTATTGTAGCTAGTTACGAGTGAACACAGATGGAAGATTTTCCTCTCTCTCTTCCTTCTCTCTTCAAGTCTTCCTTTCCAATGAGAATAAATAAATCTTGTTTTAAAGATTTATTTTAAAAGATTAAGATTTTATTTTAAAATATTGGTTTTATTTATTTTAAAAGATAAAGATTTAGGGCTCGGCGGCGTGGCCTAGCGACTAAAGTTCTTGCCTTAAACGCGCCCGGGATCCCATATGGGTGCCGGTTCTAATCCCGGCAGCTCCACTTCCCATCCAGCTCCCTGCTTGTGGCCCGGGAAAGCAGTCGAGGACAGCCCAAAGCCTTGGGACCCTGCACCCTTGTGGGAGACCTGGAGGAAGTTCCTGGCTCCTGGCTTCGGATCAGCGCAGCACCGGCCGTTGCGCTCACTTGGGAAGTGCATCATCAGACAGAGGATCTTCCTCTCTGTCTCTCCTGCTCTCCGTATATCCGACTTGGTAATAAAAACAAATCAACCTGGTTTTAAAAAGATAAAGATTTTAAAAATCTTACAAAAAAAAGAATTACAGGGAACAAATTCAAGCCTCTTTTGTATCATACACTAAAAAAGGTTTAAATTGATGCTGTGGCTTCGATTGTGACAGTTATAACAGAACCGATGTAATCTTGTCCAGCGAGACTCAGAGTCATTATAACTTTAAGCTTTTGGAGAAACATTATCCTCACAAGAATCACTGTTCAAGTTTGTAATGTCTGTAAGTGCTTTTTAAACTCCTGAATATTAATTTTTGTTTTGTTTTTCATGTTTGTTCTATTGTTATTTTTATTTTGTTTTACTGTTATTAATTATATCGTCAGTATAATGAAATGAAAACAAATCTGAAAATCTTAAAAAGGGACAGAAACCACACATAACCTCAAATCTCTAACACATGAAATACCTCAGTTTTTCCAAATTTCCTTATAAGTTTCATTCTATGTAAATATTATCTTTAGATTTCTATTTATTTGAAAAGAGAGTTACAGATGGAAGAACAGAGAGGGAGAGGAAGAGCGGAGAGAAAAAGAGAGAGAGATTTCACTTGCTGGTTCATTCTTCAGATGGCTTCAATGACTGGAACTGGGCCAGATGAAAGCCAGGAACCAGAAGCTCCTTCTGAGTGTCCCAAGGACTTGGGCCATCATCCACTGCCTCCCCAAGCACGTTAGCATGAAGCTGGCTAAGAAGTAGAGCAGTCTAGACAGAACTGGTAAACACGGGAGATGATGGTACTACAGGGTCATTCTTCTATGTAAACATTCTTGCATCGTTTGGTGAAAATTTGATTTCTGCGTTTAATTTAATATTGCAACCATTTCTTCACTTTGCTATGAAGCTCAAATGTTACTAATTTTTGAAAAAGAAGCCAAAATCAGAAAATTCTTTGATTACTTGAAAAAACAGTGACTTATAATACTTAGTTTACCAGACACCAACAGGTTAAATTGTTATTAAAACCAAATTGGAGAAGAGTAATAACAGCATAAGATAGGCTTACAGGGTGTTTATACCTGGGTCATGGGCTTGAATTCACTGCTGTGTCCAGCGCCAATCAGATGGTGGGCTTTCACTCCCACCTCTGCAAATTTTTCATTTTCAGTGATCCACTGGGACAGGGCATATGCACTCTGCCGTGTTTTTGTGAAAATTATTCCTCGTGCTGAGCCCTCAGTTCTAGTGTATTGTTCCAATATGGTATTTCTCAATTTGGTCAGCTTTTCATTTTCATGTTCAGGATTTTCAGCAAGTTTTTTCAACATTTTTTGGTTTTCTTTAAGAAGTAATCATAATGAATATGTTAAACACCTTGATTAGGCCATTGCACAATACAACACATATCAAAACAGCTTGTTGTACACCATATTTATATACCCATAAACATGTAAATTTAAACTATGAATCTTACCAAAAAACAATGTCATGAGAAATCTATCTGTCCCATCCAACTTTAAAGACTTGTTTACATCATCTTCATCACCACCACTCTCCTCACTATCATCTTCCAGGACCGCAAACTTCTTTGCTTTCACATCCGTATAGAAATTTTCCAGGTGATTATATGCATCGATCATCCGAATTGTGTCATTAATTTGCAGGGCCTCATTGTACTTCCTCAAATGCTCTGCACATACACGTTCTTTGCGATTTCCTTCTTTTGAAGCTAGGAAAGGATGTATGATGGAAGTGAAATAACGAGAGCCCATATATCCCCTACAAATGTGCTGAGAACTTGAATATATTTACGATTGTAACTTTGACTTTGAGACGGGCATATGAAGGCTCAAAATGAGCCATGAGTGCTAATAGGTGGCAACTTTTTCAGCTTCTGGGTCTTCTATTTGAGCTCTGTCTCAGCAGAAGCAGGCACAAGAATACTTGAAAGGGCACATGCAAAATCAAATTGAGAAATAAATTTAACTTTAGTGTCAAGAAATATTTGAAATCCTTGCATAAGTTTGTATTTTCCATGAACTTTTAAAACATACTTCATAGCTGATGCACAGAGTATCAGCTTGAGAAAATATATTAGCGCAATTTGCTTTTAGATGCATTGTTATATTCTGTTAATACTTTCAATGTACTTTCAATGAAAGAGAACTCCAGCCAAATCAGTAGCTCCTCTGTTAGAAAAGGAATGAGATCATGTTCATTCCTGTGTGGCATGGAACAAAGTGTCTTTCATAATCTATTTTCTTTGTGCAAATGTGATAATAGTCATGTGTATTCTTGTAAAAAAAATGCAATAAACTGAAATTAAAAGTCAAGTTACCTTTTTTTTCCATTTGAATAACCCATAGTTCATAGGATTGAGTTCCAAAATCCGACATTGGATTTATCTGGCCGTACGCTTGAATCTTTGTCATTATATGGTGCAGTTTCTCTTTAAATGGGTCCTGAAAATAAATGACACATTTATTCTCATCTATTTATATTGTTAAATGATAATACTATCTTCAAAGAACAGTATCTCTTTATTACAGTAAGCTTGGTTCAAAATCATTTTCTAAATTGACTAACAGCTTCAGGGCTGCTGATTTCTTTGTGTATCACACGTGTATTTGTCCTACTCTTCCTCAACTGCCAAGAGTCATGCTCACACTCAACATTAGGCACCACTGCTGGACTTTTCAGTTTCACGGTTTGCCACAGTGAAGTTCATGAGGGTTCAAAACTCTAAATGTTTAAGGTAATTTAAAATCATATTGATTGAATGTTCAAGTATTTAGAAGTCCTAAAATCTAAGACATCTTCCTCTTCAAATAACTGGTTTTGGTATCCTTTGCAACCAAAATAAAAAGCTTAAGAGGCACATTATTTTTAATAGACCAGAGACAAGAGAGTCTGCCTGTATGATTCCTTTTACGCAAAGTTCAAAATTCACCCAAATTTATCATTGGTTTTAGAAACCAGCGTGGTAGTCCTCGTTAGACCATGACAGAAGGCAGGGTGAGGAGCTTTGAAGGTCTGGAACGTCTTTTGCCCTTGATTAAGGTTACACAGATGTGTTTAGTTTATAGAACCTAGCAATTGGTACAGTTACAGATTTATCACTTTCTGCATGTATGTTACATTTCAATAAATAGGATACCAGGGTATAAAGAAAACCAAAAGAAATATAAATTCTTTTTTTAGAAAGTTCCAAGAAATACTTTCTAAAGATTATGGGTAGAGGCTGGGCTGTGGCATCCACTGGTGTGTGTGAGGACTGGACCTGTGGTAGGCTGAGCTGGGCTGGGTTAGACCGTAACACCAATCAGCTCATGTGAGAAATGGAGCTAGGGATGGAACGGACCCTGCTGCATCCACTGGTATGTGTGTTGGCTGGTGTAGATGATTGACAGAAGCTGGCCCCGCACTGGTTGGCACACACAAGAGTCAAATCTGAGGTTACTCTAGGACTAGATGGCTGAAGTCAAACCCCAGCCACAGAGAAAATCACAAGATATGTGGTATGGCCTTAGAGTGTGTGTATTGGGACTGGGCCTTCTCAGTTGCTAATGCCTGTGCAAGTGGACAATAAACTCAGATGCACATGGGGAACATGACAGCCAGCTCTTCTAGACCAGCAGAGAACACTGAGTGCCTCATCAGAGGATGAAAAGCAGAATAGGTTGAACCGCTCTCCTGGCCTAGCTTTGTAGTGTATTCCTGGGCCTGTGGATGCACTAAGGTAGACTTTGTTAGCCAATAGACTTTAGAAGGATTTTCTTAATCCTAGTGCAACGAAGTTGATGACATCTTGGGGCTATATCAAAACCATTCAAGTAACAGCCTTGGGAAATAATCTTCCCCACATAAGGGTCTCTGGGATGTTATCAAATGACCATCCCCTATCCCTGGTGCCGATCTAATTCAACAGCAAGGAGTACCCCCTCCTAGCTCCCTTTTACTGACAGGGGAATAAAAAGATTGAAACATTTGTCCCACCCACCTTTTTCTACACGTCAACCCTCCCTACCCTAATCAGAGATCCACATGGGTGTGCATCCCTCTCAACTACAAGCAAGTTTCAAAATACAGTGAAATTAAATTTAAAACAAATATTATGGATAGAAACATTCATTTAAGTTGATCAAGAAAAGCTGAATAAAAAGTGAAAATGAATAACATACATTCAAATACGCTGGTGCAACTGAAACAGATAGTAGTCTTTAACACAGATTAAAAATATTAGTTTAAAGAGGGGTGGCCCTCCTGACACAGGAGAGTAAGTTGACCCTTGGGATGCCTGCATCCCCTATTTGAGAGCTAGTTCAAGTCCTGGCTATGCCACATCAGCTCCAATGTTCTGAAAAAGTGATCCTGGAGGAAGCAGAAGATGATGGCGCATGTGTCTAGGTTTTTCACCTTGGGAGGAAGACCTGGATGGAAATCTGGGCTCCTGTCTTCAGCCTGGCCTAGCTCTGACTGTTGTAAGTATTTAGGCAGTTAATCAGCAGATGGAAGAGATCAGTAGATCTCTTGATTGCTTTCTTCCTCCTTGATGTCATTCTCCTTTTCAAGGAGATGAAATATATTTTATGATGATGGTATTTGGTTAATAACATTGGTTTAGTGCCTATTACATTTCAAGCACCACCTTTATGACTGCAAACCTCACATTACTGATATTATTATTTATATATAATACTTTTTATACATTTAATCAAGTAGGATTAAATTAGTCATAAACTGGAATATGAAGAAGGAGCTATCAGTTGAACCAAGAGAGTTTGCTATAGGGTATGGGTGGCCCAAGTTGGGACTAAACCACTGCACCCCATGCTAACCACTAGAGTTGATATTTATAATCAATGAAAATATTCAACAGAAAAGTCATACATTTTCACATGTTCACTACCACAAAAGCTCCCTAAGAAATCAAATGTGCAAAATAACTAGGATATTAATTATTATTGCCAACTGTCATCTGGTGGAAATGAAATGGCTCTGTGGTGTATCAGAAACCCAATCCTGGAATTCACCAAAAAAGCATAAATAGTAAAATGAATTGTTATAAACCCTCTAGTTAATTATACAAACCTTCTCACCCATACCATGTTATTCTCCCATGGATCACACATAGCCTAACAGTTACTGAGCTGCCATTCATAGAAAATATAGAAATCCTAGAAAACGAAGGGTTTGCTACTAATATTACAACCCAAAATACTATAAGATTGTAACTTGTTTGTTCAAATTTTCAAATGACATTTTTTCAGATTGTTAAGCACATACCTCTCTCATGTCATCTGCGATTGCAAACTTCTTGCATGGTTCCTTTATTTGGTCTTTGAGTTGATCAAGATTTTCTTTCACGGTTTTAATGGTAAATGCATCAAGATTAGCACATATCTAGAAAGGAGACATTTTTCAATATTCACATAATTAGTTTTTCTTAAAACTGACAATGACAAACACTTATTTTGATAGATGTTATAGTGGGTTATGCACAATTTATAGCATAAATATATGTAGAATAAAATTCCATATAATTTGTAACATTATTTGTTAAATACAATATCTTAGTGTTATTTACAGATCTGATTAACCAACAATTAATATCATTTGTCCTATCAGAATCAAAAAGAGTCATTTAGTTAATCAAGTTATGGGAAAATGCTAAAGATTATTCATTAAATCATTAATGTGTTTTTAATGTTTTAGTTTATTCTTCCTCCTTGAATTTCATCTTCCTGCAGGAACAACTGACATGAAGGTACTCAGCTTAACGGCACGATGGCTACAACTCCTCCCCTTCAAGTGCCAGCATCCCATATGGACACTGGTTTGTGTCCTGGCTGCTCCAATTCTGATCTAGCTCCTTGCTTACAGACTTGGATAGCATTAGAGAATGACCCCCAAGTCTTGGGACCCTGCACCTGCATGGGATATTACTGTCCTCTTACACTCAGCAAGAAGGCAGTGCAAAGCCAGTTATGTCATCAACCCATGTGCTAAGATTGCAGATGCTTTAATCCTTAATGTCAGTAGCAAGTTTTATCTTGGAGACAATAATTATATCTCTGAATATTGTGTTGCCTCTACATTTTTTAAATTGAACTTAAAGAGAAGTAAAATTCAAGTGCTACTGCCTTGGTGCCAACATACTTATTGAACTATTCAGTTTCATTTAACATTTGAGATCAAGAAGTACCACTTAATGTGATTTTATCATTTGTGGCTGCTGATAAGTTCCTCTTTAGTTAACAATCCTTATCCTTATTTTCCACTTGTGTATTTAACATTGAACTACCCAGATTCCTAGAATCTCATAAAAAGAAAGCACAGCTTGCAACTCATGAAATAAGACTTTAGAAACTAAAGTCTAGAAACTTTCACAGTTTACACATATTTCTACATCAGATAAACTATAATAGGGATGTTAAAAAGAAAGCATTCTATTTGTCTCAGCTTTCTATTTATTATGACTATGCTCCATAATTTTATAGTATTGTTCTGCAACTTAGCATGTTATTAAGACATATTTTGGTTCTGTAGGAGGCTGAATGTATTTACTATAGTTAAAGCAAATAGACTTCACTTAACTGATGATTGTGGTACCAGAACTCAACTTTACCTAAAACTCCTGAGAAACACAGGCAATTGTTTCGATGGTGATCTTATTGATAGGGTAATTACTTACTCTCAGAATGTGTTCTTCGGCTTTGGCTTGCTTTTTGGCTCCTCCAACACCAGGTGAAGCTGTTAGTCCCAATATCTGAGGCAGGGGAATAACTGGCTTGTTCTCCTTCTCGAGTTTTTTATTTTTCAACTTCTGCTTCAGATAACGCCTCATAATGTTATTGTAGACTGCTTCTTTATTAGTATGATGACATTCATCAATGATAAGGAGGGAAAAATCTTAAAAGAAAATTCAAATCCACATAATTTAAATAGAAACAATGTTGCTTATCCTTTAAGCATCCTAATTATTTTCACTTTGTTGTCTCCTACCTTCTCAACCCACCTTCCATAAAGCAGAAAGGATTGTATTCCATGGAGAAGGAGGTTCTAAAGAGCTCCACTAGCAAATTAAAAGTATGCCAGCACCAAGGGAAAATCCTGTGAGTGCTTGACTTAATGATGAAATTCTCACACAAAACAAAGTCATATAACTAAAAACATTTTTGTTTTCCTCTGGGAAATGGAAGGTTTTAATGAAAGCTTAGGGAATGAAAGACAAGTCATATAACTAAAAACATCATTTTCGTTTTCTTCTGGGAAATGGAAGGTTTTAATGAAAGCTTAGGGAATTAAAGGCAATGTGAACAGGCTAATTTTGTCAATATTTTAATTATTTATCCAATACATAATCTGCTGCCATTATTAATAATTGTTCTGGCTTTAAAAATAACCACTTTAAACCTACCTGACAGCTTGACACCAACATCTTCTCCTTTTTCTGCATTTAAAAGGAAGTTTTCAAGGATCTGAGCAGTGCTGATGATAACATCATGGGTTTTAACAACTTTTGGAAATGATATTTTCAGTTGGCTATCACCACTTAATCCAATCACACGATACCATTCCTTCAAAAATGGTTTGAATTCCTTGCGAAAGAGCTGTTCAACTAAGGGAACCTTAAAGTATGTGACAATAAGAGAGAGAGGGAGGGAGAAAAAATAATCAAAGCAAAGGAAAATGATCAAAGGTTTACTATTGTGTCACTAATTACCAGAAGTATTTATATCACCAGTATTTAGACACACAATCTATTTGTGTTTCTTTTGTTGTTCTGTCAACAAATGTAGACACTACACTTGGAATATAATTTTTACGATGATTTTGAGGAACTCAGTCCAACTGAGCTCATAGATGAAAACTAAACAAAAGAAATGACTATAACATCATGTAATAATCCCCCCACTGAAACATGCACAGTAACAGCAAAGAGAAAGAAGCAGCTGACCAAAGAAAAAAAGTTGGAAATATTTTGAATGTAATTTTGCAAGCTATGGATCAGTACAAAGGCACTCTGGATAAAAAAAATGTAAGTTTGTAGAACAGGACTAGACTATGGACATTAATCTAAATATTTTTAATTGAATGCAAGAGTTCAAAGCATGCTGATGAGCAGAAATGTTGTTTGGAGAGGAAATCAGAGGTAACACACCTAAAGGATGGGACAAAAGAAGGAACCAGGAAAGAAGAATTCTGGCTTAATTAGGAGAAGAGATGGCAATTGAAGGAATGTGCTGCTGGCACAGATTTGGTGTTTGAGCAGGAACAAAATAGTGAATAGTTCGGTGATAGGAATGGAACTTGAGGTATCTTTCAGCTGATTGCTCCTAGTTGCAATGTCTGTTAAAGGTGAATGAATGACACCTCAGGGCTACACATTACTTGTCATTCAGAATACTGGCTGAAAGAGATACTTCATCTCCTGAAGAAGTTAATCAATGGAAGCCTAGAGACGAACAGTGGGGCAAACAGGGAGTTGACAGGAGGAATTCCAAAGGCAGGATGCAAGTTGCAATATGATCACCTGATAACAAATCTGTAGTAGTCTGTAGCAGATGTGCTGCTCATATTTTTACTTGAGTGAAGTCCCTCTCGCATATTCAGTAAGGGTTGGCTGATCTCCCTAGCTGAGGAGTTGGGGTGTACAAAGAGCATGTTTTATGCTATTATTTAGAAAAATTGATGAAGTGGCTTCTAAAGGTGAATGTCTGGGGTAAGGGTACAGGAGGGAAGAAATAAAAGGAAATCCATGAGTTTCAAAAAAACAAAGTGGAGTTAACACTGACTCATGGTGAGTGAAAGAACATTATCATCCATGGGAAGGATAAGATAAAGTGTCATTTAGAGCTTTATTTTTTTTAAGTTTCTGTGATTTGCCTGCATAAAATCACTTCAAAGATTTAGGAACTGAAGATTCCCAAGTCCCACGCCAGAACTATGGAATCCAGGGAGCAACTCTGGGAGTGGAGTCCTTAAAATTTCACTCTAGCAAAGCCTTGCATATGACATTGGGGGTTTTAAAATTTAAGGGTCACAGCTCTTCCCTATCTCTTCCAGAAGGCCTATACTGATATTTTTTTAGGAGTGTTCTTTCCCATTCCTCTTATGCATGACAATAGTCTGAGAACAGGGGACGATTTTAATAAAAACAGAAATTAAATGAAGTGGGAAAAAAGAGAAAGAATTAGAAGGAAACAAGTCATCCCTGAAATCATCAACTCTATCCACTTGTATTGTGTGACTTTGGACAAGGTTGAATAATCTCAACTGTCTCACGTCCCACATTAAGAAAATGAGCATGTCACTCTGTAATAAGGCTGTGAAAATGAAAGGAAACTTAATCAGACATATTTCCAGTGTTTAGGTAATTTTTCTGATATATAGCCTATTTTTCTATATGTATAGAGAATGGGGAAGCTCCAATCGATTTCATGAGAGTTCATGTCTCTGTTAGTATTGGCTGGATGAACTCTGACATGACAGTAAGTGTCTTAGAATTTCAGTTTTCTGTGACTGGCATATAAAATAGCTGCATGAATTCAATACGATAATATATCTGAGAATGTTTTAGGGAAATAGTAAAAATATCGATTATTATGTAATCAACAGACATCTCTTTTCTAGGCAGTAGATTCCTTGAGGACAGGATGTTCAATTTGTTTTTAAATAAAGATGGATATAATGATTGACATAAATAAGAATGACAAGGTGATACAGTAAAGCACGGATCTATCCAGAAAAGGTAAGTCAAAACTTTCCAAGGAAGCAGCATCCTCTGATCTACAGAACAAAAAGAATTTCTCACAGGAGATAGCAACTGTTGAAAACCCTGATGCTCGCTCTGGGTGGCAATGACTTCCTACTGAAGGACACAGAGGAAGGCAGGTGGGAGTCTGACATGGTTAATTGGGAGATGTGTGGTCCTCTTGGAGCCTTTTCCTGAGAAGTGACAGAGTGCTTGCCAAGACTAATCAAATCCAACTGCTACCCACTTCTGCTGAATCATATGGGACTGTATTAGCATCCGAGGGAACCTGGGATTTATCTCTCATGATGTTGAAGTCCTAGATAGGCAGTGGAAAGTCTGGCAACACAGGTGGTGTTTTCATTTCTTTCTGTGTTCGAAGGCTATAACTTTGGAAAAGGACAGAGGATGGGAAAAGAAAGTAAAGGATGTTAGGGAAGAGGTTTTCTTTTTTCTTGGTTAGGGGATAAAAGAACTTAATGTTGGGCCAAATACAGAATGCATAGGTTATACTGACTTACTGGGTCAGAGATTTCCTGCTTCAATTAAAAGGTAATTCAGAAATTCAAAATAAAATAAATGGCATTGTGAATATGATAAAGATAGAATAATTAGTGGAGGAATTTCCAGTAACTCTGAGAATAAAAACTGAAAGGAAGAAGATCTAGGATTAAAATTATACCCTCAAATGTATGAACAAGAGTGAGATGAATATGAATATGAATAGTTAGTGAGGACTAAAACATGGCCATAAATGTGCATTCATAATAATCACCTAGATCGGATGGGGTGATACTTCTGACTAGAATGTAACAATAATAGCAGGAAATATTATAGGAAGGGAAAATGCACAAATTCATAAGACATGAAATGATCAAGCAATGCAAAAGAAATGATGGAATAAATGTAACAATTTCTAATCACATATAGGCATTTTATATTAAAAAAATTAGTTCCACAAAAGTAAGCAAAGGAAGGTCTTGGTTGAACAGATTTTTAATGAAAAGAAAGTAAGGATTTTAAGTTCATGATAATGTGGAGATAAGACTTTGGGCGTTAAAGGTACCCAGTCTGATGCCTTCACCAGCTAAGTGAGTACGGCATGGCGACTCACCATCTGCATAAGACCAGATTCACAGAATATTACTTAGGTCTGGATGCTGTGCTTTAAAAGAGTCTTGACAAATAACAGGAAGAATATGAACACTCAAAATAATGAAAAGACTGAAAACCCTGTCAAAGAAACCATTAAAGCAACTGAGGACAAAAGCAAAAATAAAATGGGAACCACATACTGCTAATTTTCCTATGTCATATGTCAAGAAAATAAGATATGCTCAGTATATCACAGAAGAAAGAGCTCTAGTCAATGACCATGGATTCCAAGAGAACAGCTTTTGATGAATACATGGATGACTTTCCAACAGGGTCTTTGAATTAAAGAATGGTCAGTGCTATCATGTGTGAAGACAGATCTCATCTTTTCTCAAGATTTAAAAAATTCTTATTGGAGAGTCAAATATACAGAGAGAAGCAGACACAGAGAGAAACACCTTCTATCTGTTGGCTCACTCCCCAAGTGGCTGCAATGGCCAGAGCTGAGCTGATCTGAAGCCAGGAGACTTTTATGAGTCCCCCCATGTAAGTGCAGGGTCTCAAGACTTTGGACCATCCTCTATTGATTTCCCAGGTCATAAGTAGAAATACGGCGGAGCAGCCAGGACATGAATTGTCACCCATCTGGGATCCCAGGGTGGGCATGGTGAGGATTTTAAGCCATTAAGTCATTGCACCAAGGCAAAGAAGGATCTTTGATGTTACAAGTTACCCAGCAAAAGTGAGAGAATCACTGCAGTGCAAGAAAGCTGGACGTAGAGAAGATCCTTCCCAACTCCAATGGTGTATACATCTACAGGCAAAAAGGAGAAATAAAGCAAACAGGTGACAAAAAATAACCCCCTGATATTCAGACTACCCGCTGTGAAAGAACTAATATAGCAGAGAACAGGTAAATAAGGAAGAAAGGCCTTTGGGAAGGTACAAGGTGAGGCTGAGTTTAAGGAAAAGGAAGAATGTTCAAATGGTATCAAAAACATCATTTTAAGTAGCGTTGAATCCAGCAAACTTTATTCTTTCTGACCCTGGTATTAAGATTTTGTTTCCTGATTCAAGTACATTATTTCGTTAGTTATAAAAAAATAAGGAAGAAGGCAAAGGAAAGATATACTGTTTGCTGAATTATAACCAACTTCTCTCTCTGCTTCTCAGCAGGTATGTGACAGAATTTACACTTCACAGCAGTGCTGTTATTATGTCCATTTTAGAAATGCGGAAACTAATGTTAGAGAAGGTGCTTGCTGGTCTAAATTCAATCTACTGGCATGTAGAAATGGAACTTAAAGCTTTTTTTTTCTTCTAAAACATTAGATCCTTTATAAGGAGAATTATGAAAAACTATAGATCAATAAATTTTAGCTTACTGCCATTGCCAAAAAAGTAGAAGTGTCCTAATAGTGAGTATACAGGTACAAAGGATCATTTTTAGACTTAACACACACATAAAAACATTTGAAACAATATGATTAAATTGCTCAAATAATAGACTCTGACCATTTTTCTTCAGTGCTAAAAAGAAGACTTCAAATTAAATTTTGGCATAATAGACAGACAAGCAATATACTAAGTTTTAGAATCTATTGCTGAGTTTCTGTAAATGAGCAAATGAGAATAGACATTATCACAGAAAATTTTAAGTTGCATTCAATTGTATAAATACATTACACAAATAATCTGAGTATTACTTAACACGGACAAACCTAATATTCACTTCATTTTCTCCTATCTTCAAACCACATTTATGTATATTCTAATTCAAAAAGAATTTCCGTTGTTAACTAGGGGTCAGTGGTTAACAAACTAAGAGATAGTATATGATTGTTGTTCTTTTGGGATCATTCACATTAATACACAGCGATAAATTAGCAATCATTAACATCAAAACATATCTAAGTAAATATAACCTTTATATGTGTTAAGTTACAACTACCATGGCTGATGTTTTGATTATGGAAAATAAAATCCATTTTAAGGCTAATTACTTAAATATTGGGTATATCTCAGAAACAAAGGTTAAAAATAAAATGAATGCCTTATTTTGACATTACTCCTAATTAAGTTAAATGTGATGTGGGGCTCTAATTTTATTATGTAAAATGATAGCATGATAATGGACAGATAACGGTGTATGACGTGTTATTGGCACACCTTATTGACAAGCACCATCACTTTTCGAGGCCCTGAGGCCCCTTTTCTCTTGTCCAAGTGATTCTTGGCGATATAAACAGCCACTCGTGTTTTTCCACTCCCTGTAGGAAGGCATATGATGATATTCTTCCCGTCCAAGGCTGGCTGGGCAACTTCCATCTGGTAAGACCTCAGCTGCAGTTCTGGCTCAGGGGACCTTCTTGCTGCCGTGTTTTCCTCATCTGAAGGAAGTTGAAAAGAAGACACATCAGGGAAGGGACCAGCAAAAATGTCTGCCCTTATTTAGGACAGTATTTTTTGATCCAGGGTTGGCTGAATGACAAGAGATTCTGACCAGCTAAATCCTTGACCATGGAGGCTTAGCAGCCTGCCTAAGGTGTGTATGCGCCCACACACAAAGGTGGTCAACAAGTCCATGTAAACCGCAGTCTCTGCAGGAATTTCAAAACTTTTTCAGCTAAATAAAATTCTACTTCTTTCTACAAGATTTTATGTATTTTTTTTTTCCATTGGAAAAGTAGATTTAACAGATCAGACAAAGATCTTCCATCCGCTGGTTCACTCCCCAAGAGGCTGCCATGGTTAGAGCTGAGGCATCCCAAACCAGGGGCCAGAAGCTTCTCCCAAGCCTCCCACAGAGGTGCAGGGTCCCAAGGACTTGGGCCATCTTGCACTGATTTCTCAGGCCTCAAGCAGAGAACTAGATGGGAAATGGAGCAGCTGGGACATGGACCAGCGCATATATGAAATCTCGGTGCATGCAAGGCGAGGATTAAGCCATTGAGGCATTGCGTCATGCCCTAAAATTCCATTTTTATTTCATTTTCCCACAGGCTTCTTGAGGTAACTTGTACACTATCTCTGAAATTCTTTTCTCCATTTGAGGCAATCAGGTTGTACAGTTATTATACATAAAGAGTAAGGAAAATTTTTTTTGCCATGATAGCTTTAAGTTTGTCAGTTTTCAATGAAACATAGAAATAATTTTGGTACCACAATTTAAATTGTACGGGCCCAGCAGGGTAGCCTAGTGGCTAAAGTTCTTAGATTGCCTGTGATGGAATCCCATATGGGCACTGATTCATGTCCCAGCTGCTCCACTTCCAATCCAGCTTTCTGCCCGTGGCCTACAAAAGCACTAGAGGATGGCCCAAAGCCTTGGGACCAAACATCTGCATAGGCGACCTGGAAGAAGCTCCTGGCTCCTGGCTTCAGATAAGCTCAGCTCTGGCCATTGCAACCACTTGGGGAGTGAACCAGCAGATGGAAGATCTTTCTCTATGCTCCTCCTTTTCACTAAAAATCTGACTTTCCAAATAAATAAAATAAATAAATAAATCTTTAAGAAAGTAAAAATTGAAAATAAATTAAGTAGTACCTGATTTACCATTTTGTTTTTGATTATGATTTTTGTAATTTCCTTGTGTGTATGTCTCCATTTATTAATATTTTTCTGAAACTCAAAACATAATATATTAAAAGTAGTTTCATTAATATTTTTAAATCCAAAATACAGATATCACCCTATATTCATTTTGCAAATTTTGAAATAAAATTATTATGCTGTATTTCAATTTAGATATATTTTATTTATTTTATCTGTAAGTGGCCATGTTTTTCTATTTTAGCCAGGAGAAAATATATACACATGAATGGCTTATAATGTGGAATGCAATAAAATAAATATAAACCCTTAAAAGCCCATTGAATGCTTTAAATTATCACCAGAAGAAAAGAAAATGAGAGTTGTTATCAGTATTTCATCACACATGAAATAAGTTCATTTTCTTATCAGTGACTGCAATAAAGCTAAACAAACACAGTTCCATTAACTTCAAAAAAGTTGCTGACGGTTCCATTTCAGCAAGTGGATGACTTCATTTAAGTGGATTTTCAACTTGTTTTGATAGTACTATCTGAGCAGGTAGGTAAATTTGCACCAAATACCACTTAGTAAGAATCAGCTGCTAACCGGGCAGGAAATTTGCCTAAGGTGGGGATGACTAGTGACACATGCACTAGGTTTAAGCTATCATTGAATTATCTACCGACTCAATATGATTCCCAGAAGAAACACATGGAGGTCACCAGCATTTAGAATGCAAATTAATAAGTTTTGTTTATGTAAGGGTTATATTATTTAAAAACAAAATTGTTCTCAAGTAACCTTTAAAGAGAAAATTAAAATCCAAATATTTTAAATCTGTTGACAATATTTATCTACTAATTTTTCCAAAAAGAACAACAAAATTTGCAAAAGAAAATGTATTTTAAGCAGCATCTAAATCAGGATCCAGGAATTCATTTTTGATAATTACCATTTGCTTCGTGAAGTTTTGAAAAAATATCAACAACAATAATAAAAAGGGGTGGAGGGAGGAGAGCAGGGGGGAAAAAAAGACCTCAACAAATGCTGTTTGTTAAAATTCACAAATACATTATATCATTACAGGTGCATTGTTTTTGTACAGATTTTAATGAGAGTAAGATGCTGTCTCTCTAGCAATGATTGTGCATGCTTTGTAATATTAATTTTTCCTTTTGGTTTTCTAAGGGAAAAGCAAAAGCAAAGGAGAAGACATGGATCAATTTTTTTGAGTCTCTTTTCCAAAATCCTAGACGCACAATGAGAATACCTTTTTCTCTCTATCCTAGCCAGCATTTGCGTCTGGATTTTTGCATGATAACCATTCTAACTAAGGTAAAGTGAAAACTGATCGTAGTTTTTACTTGGATTTCCCTGATGACTTGTGATCCTGAGAATCTTTTCATGTGTCTTTTGGTCACTTTATTTCTTTTCTTTTCTTTTTTTTTTAAGATTTATTTATTTTTATTGGAAAGGCAGATATACAAAGAGGAGAGACAGAGAGGAAGATTTTCTGTCCGATGGTTCACTCCCCAAGTGAGCGCAACAGCTGGAGCTGAGCCAATTTGAAGCTAGGAGCCAGGAGTTCTTCCGGGTTTCCCACACGGGTGCAGGGTCCCCAAGCTTTGGGCCATCCTCAACTGCTTTCCCAGGACACAAGCAGGGAGCTGGATGGGAAGCAGGACCGCCAGGATTAGAACTGGCACCCATATGGGATCCTGGCCGATGCAAAGGGAGGACTTTAACCACTATGCTATCGTGCCGGGCCCTGGTCACTTTATTTCATCCTTTGAAAAACGACGTTCTAAATCTCAGGTCATTTCTTAGCTGGATTGCTTGATTTGTATTGTTGAGTTTCTTGAGCTCCATATATATCCTGGATATTAATCCTTCATTGGTTGTAAATCAGCATATGGAAGAGTTAGTTGTACCACCATGTTTATAGCAGTTCAACTCACAATAGTTAAAATATGGAACCCACCCAGATGTCCATCAACTCATGACTGGATAAAGCAGTTATAGTATATGCACAATAAAATAGTAGATATCTTTCACAATAAAATGGATGCAACTGGGGACCATTATGCTTTGCTAAATAAGCCAGTTCTCAAAAGACAAATACATGCTTTCTCTGATTTATGGTAACTGATGTACAGAGGACAGAAAACGTAATGTATGGCGAGATTGACATTTTAAGATTTGATTTTTATTTCTACCCCTTATCTACACTCCTGAGCAACAATGGATATTTTAAAATTATTACTTGTTAAATTATTTATTTAGTAGAGGGCTAAGCTGATGATTATAAAGAAAAATTCAAGGTATGTCATTATAAAAATTACCAAAAAAAGGAAGAAGGTTGCTACTGAGGGAGGTAGGGTAGAGGGAGGAGTATCATTAAGTTCTTACATGAAATGTATTTCCTTTTATAAATAAAATGCAATAACAGAAAAGCAAAACAAATAATAGATCAGTATCACCCGTACATACGAATGTTTAGTACATAATAATTTAAGAAGACAGACTGATAAATGGGGCTACCGTGTTAATCCAGAAACAAAGTATTAATGCCAATTATTTATATTTTAGAGTCAACAACAGTACATTTGATGAGTAGTTCCACAAATAAGAGAGAAGTACAGAATGGATATGAAAAAAACAAGTGTTGGATTCCAAGCAAGAATAGCATCCAAAGGAAAAGAGTTGAATGAGTGCTAAATGTTCAGCCAGATTCTTGCCTTATCACATTTCCTGACATAGGGATAGAATTTATCCACACACGTAATGAAAAGAGAGTTTTCTCTGTCACCAGCAGGAGACAACAGAGGTGTCATCAATGAATCAGGTGCCAATTTCTTTCATGTAAATTTTGAAATGTTTGGGCTCTTGTTTGCTTATTTTGGGGCTTTTAATGAATACAATTAAATACAATAATTAAAAAGGTATTTAGATCATGCACAGATTTTCAGTTATATTGTACCATCATGCTGTTAAAAATACTGATCAAAATTTTAAAATGCTATCATATCATGCAAATGGTCAAAAAAAGAAATCAAATAGGTTTAAATAGTAATATTCTGTTGGAACTACACCATGTGGCAAATTTCATTCTCACATTGAATTTGACAGCTGAGTTATTCTTGGAGAGAAAAGGTCTGTCACTGCATGTGTTTGAAATCGACATAGTATTCCTCTACCTATAGTATGCAACCACGGAAAAGCACGCCATTCCAGCTGGACAAATATCAATGGACATTACCTAGAAATAACAAGGAGATACTAAGTATCTATGAGGCCAGTGAATATTGAGGAAAAAGTATTGTCACGAGGATAACTCTCTGAAAGTGAGAACCAGAAAAAAAAAAAGCCTTATCATAATATAAACATAAGAATCAGTATTAATGTTTTACTTTGGAGTAAAAGAACCATAATGTGACTGGTGTTATGGCCATGATGTGAGCAGCTCATTTTATGACCTTCCAAGGAGGACAAAAAACAGGTACGATAAGGGCTCTTAAATACCAACTTTGAGGATTCAAATATAATCACACATTTGCAATACTCATTAATCCTATCTGATATGTATTTAATAACTCATCAACTTATCTACGGATTTTTTCTTTAAAAGATTGATTTCCAGATCAGCTGTGGCATAGCATGCACCTGGCAGTATGACATTTCATAGTTTTATCATTTCATGATTTTCCAGCCCACTATGCAAAATAATCCTTATCTGAAAGCACTGACCCATCCAGAGCATCAAGAGGTGTCCCTTAAAAATGTTTTCAAAATGTATTTACTTTTGGAAAATGTATTTGCTTTTCAAAAGCGATCTGCGTTCAGATTTATCGTGTTTTTCATGCCACATTGAGGACTAAAAATCAGCAAATACATTTGCTGACAGCTTTAAATAGGCAAGATGCCCTGCACACAGAGGACACACTTTAAATATTTATTCAATGAATGAATATTATTGAAAAGCCTTTACTTAGACAAATAAAAATTACGATGAGGTCCAGAAGCTTAAAACAACATACAAAGATGTTAAATATCAGCAAGAGTATATTTTGAGTTCTAGCATCAATAGCACGTAATACAAATGTTAACCATCAAATTTACCGATTTCATGGAAAATGTAGGAAAAATGCAAACTACAGAGGAAAAAAGAACATGTCACAGTTTCTTAAACAGTGAATTGAACAGAAAAATGGATGCTTTTATCAACACTAATGCCTGACATTTGGGGAACTGGGCTTCTTCAGTTTAACCTGTTCTAACTTAAAGGATTCAGAAATGTAGTTTTAATAAAAAAAAAATATGAGAATACTTTCAAAAGTTAATGGAATGAAACTGAGATACATTTCTTTTGCTGCAATGATTTTTTCATAACTTGTTTTTTCTATGAACTTTCTGAAGACTGTGTATTTCAAATTTTTTCTGTGTAAAGTAATTTGTTTTCTTATAAAAATTTTAAAAATCTGGTAAGAGTCTATTAAAAACTTTCAGGGAAGTTGATCATTTTTCTATAAGCCCTTTTTCCCTTTTATACTTAATATGGCTCTGAATATCTGTAAGTATTCTGATAATGCAGGGTAATCTAAATTATCCAGTATGTTCTAAGTGGAAGCAACTTAATTAAAAGTGAAGAAAAATGTATCTGCTAATTTTATCAGTTTTCTATTGCTTCTTAGCTGGTCTGACTGCAAAAACTGCTTCTCGGCCTTTTGGCTAAGATCAAGTGTGGTATGACTGCAAAGCAGTTTTTGTTTGCAATTGTTAATTTTATTTATGAAATGTGTCAAGTATGTAGATAAATACTGAATGATGTATAAAAAAAATATCCCATAGCTCATCACCCATACTTAAAAAGATACAAACATTTTAGCTCAGTAACAATCATGGAAACACACATTCAAAATACAGAAAGAAATTGAAACGTACCAGACCCACAAGTTAGAAAATCTGATCAGAAGATAATTAATGAGAACTGGGAGGGTGGGCTTACAACAGGCGATTTCAGTTATTGCTAGAGAGATACACAGCAAATACAAAAGGCAATTAGGAACAAGCACTGTGGCACAGCGGGGAAAGCTACCACCTGCCATGCTTGCATCCCACATGGGCATCAATTTGAGTCCTGACTTCTCCACTTCTGATCCAGTAGATGGCTAGTGTACCCGGGAAAACAGCAGAGGATAGCCCAAGTCCTCGGGCCCCTGAATGTACGTGAGAGACTTGGAAAAACCTCCTGGCTCCAGTCTGCTTCTGCCTAGGCTGTTGTAGCCATTTGGGGGAGAGAAGCAGCAATTGGAAGCTCTTTCTCTGTCTTTCCCTCTCTTTTGCAACTCTGCCTTTCAAGTAAATAAACATATCTTTTAAAATAGCAGTTAATCAAATGTACATTTTATAAACTACTCCTATTCAGTTCTAAGTTTAGTGTCTAGTTCTTGACTTTAAGAGACACTGTAATTGTCTCACATTTGTCTTATTGACAGTTTTATTGTTTTTATTTGAAATATATTTGAATAAAAAGTAGATTTGGGAAACAAATGAATATACTCAATTGTATACAAATTAAATATGCTCAAATTAATTGAAACAGATAACATAAATAAAGTGTCACATTTCTATGAAATGTGATATATGCCAAAACAAAAAAAAAGATATCCACTGGATCAAAATTAGAGAGTTTGGTCCTAAGACTCTGTAAGTTGTACTTCTAAAGAAAATGAATGGCAAAGTTCCAAAATGACTTCAACTGCATAAATGCATTAGGGAGGGTTTGAACAGTCCCCATGCATTCCACTATATGGTGTCTTATTTCACACTTTTTAAGGTTTACACAACAGTTAGGCAGTACCTGAATCACTTCCCATGGTGCTGTTATGTCCAAGACTTTCATCTAAGCAGCTGACACTTCCTTCTGCCAAACTTGTGTCTGATTCTGCAAAGGAAAACATTTTAAAATATTTTTAAAATATTTCTGAAAATAAACGTATTTTAACTGCACACCTCTACAGCACACAGCACATACAGTTCAGTGCAAGTGCGGAAAGCACACCCAGACAAGTAGAAACAAAAGCTAAGAGGTTCTGGCAGACTGCAGTTTATAAAGTCCACTGTGAATGAGCAGCTGCCAGACGGTGGATCAAATACAAATCATCTACCTGGAGGACCATTTGTCCTACACGAGAGCTAATGCAACTTCCTAAGGATTTATGGCCAATGTCTTTCTATATGCACAGAGTATCTAAGTTTGAAATTGGCTTTCAACCCAATAGTATTATATAGAAACCATTGGGCAATCTTCACTTAAATGATATGCATTGATAAGGCATATGACTCTACTGATCCATTATGAAAATAATTTTTCAGTAATATAAATTTAAAATATCAAAATCACTCAAAAGCAATCACTAAAATCTGACATAATTGTGCTAGAAGCTTATTAAGCAAGAAATGTTTTTGTTTCATTAAACTGAGTGTGTACTAACCAGTTACAGTTAGTATGAATGCCAGTTCACATTCTTGAGCTATTAATCCCAACTTCCTGGCTTCAATAATCAGCATCAATTCTTCTGGAAAGTCTTCTTTCCATCAAGAAGAATTCCTTCATTACCCTTCAGTTTTGCACACCTAAGCATTATCATCCTCAAGGGTCAGAACTATCGTTAAACTGGCAGACATCAACACGATGTGATTTTCAAGGTGATTAATGCAAGGTGAAGCCAAGGGAAGTTTTGAAACATGTGCTGTTGGCTTTGTTCTGTGTGTGAGTTCTCCTGATTTCTAAATGGGTCCAGAGCTCCTTAGCTCATCTTCTCACAGGCATTAGGTTACACTAGACACAATAAGCTCTTGCTGAAATTAGAAGATAAAATAAGAATTAAGTATAAGGTACATTGATAAGACAAGAGTACCATTTAATACCTTACAGTTACTAATATTTCATAATATGTATTACATAATTGCTGCTACTAAAGCTCCACAAGACAGTCTTACATTGTACTCAAGTAGCCTTAACCTTTTAAAATTAGAGTGTCCTATATTTATGTCTACCCATACAATTCAATAAAAACCACACATACTAGGATGCTGATAAAACTCTAGAAAGATAAAATGTGGCACAAAATCACACATATTTGCCTAGTGGCTTCTTTAATTGATTATTTTTTTTCAAATCAGATGAAGTCGAGGTTATACAATGTAAAAAAAAAAATCACTTGATTGTATAGTTTGATTAGTTTGAAAAATGTACACAAGTTTGCATTTAGGGTCACAATTATGATATTTCCATCACCCCCAGTCTTGCTATTAGCGTTCAAGGAGGTCAGTTCCCTCCTGTGAACCTCTGGCAACTGCTGATTTGGTTTCTGTCTGTGTTGCTTTTTGAACTTTAGCATGAGCCATCTGAGATGCGCTCATGCTGTAGTGTGTATTTGTAGCATCTTCCTTTTTATTAGTTACTAGTACTCCATTGAGTGTTTGTGACACATAAGATATCTCCCTTATAATTTCAGCAAGCTTATTTAGCTCATAAAACATAATGGAGTGTCAGCCAATGTTAACCAAAAACATCTTTTAAAAAAATCAGAGGAAACTGAAAAGAAAGGTAGAAAAACACTCAATGGACATACACATTGCTTATTAGCACAACACAAGTAGACTAATGTGAAAATACTGTGCTAATCAGTTGTGGTAGATTAGTTCTAAAACTCGGATTTGAGGAATCCCTTATGATCACATGGGAAAACCTGTACATCTCACTGAGAGAGTTTAAATATGGCACTTTGCAATTCCCAGAGGTATGTCTTGTTAGAAGCTCAGAGGCGAGTGTGGGATAGAACTGTCAAGTACAAGAGTGTTCTGGGCAGATGTACTGATGAAAAGAGAAGATGATTTGTAAGGAAAAGGCAAGGTGTAAAATGAGATGGGGAAAATGTCATGGCAAGGATAATTCTAGATCTGGAAATATAGGCCAAGATTTGAGGCATTAAAAAAAAAAGGTGAAGTTTTACTTGCTTTTCATGTGTTGTTAAACGCAGCATTCTGAACTGAAGTGAATAACAAAATTAGGGGAAAGTGCTGACAAATATTAGCTAAAATGTACCATTAAGTTTTTTACTATCTGTAATAGAAATGGGGATTAATCTGATTTTCACATCAGTTTCCAGTTACTAGCACTTAAACCCAGCAGGTTCTCCCTCAGGAGCTGACTTAGCATAAAGATTAGGTTGGGGGAAAGTTACCTGTGCAAGGCACATGATTTGGTAATTCTGCAGAAAATTACTAGACATCAAGTATTATTGTCTAGATTATTTTGATTTCCCAAATCCGCAGTGTGTCAGAGCGACTCAGTACAGAGCTATCTGAGAGAAAATCACATTTTGAGCTGACCCTGTCCTCTGTGGTAGATGTCTATTAGCACCTCTTGTTTTTCAAGCCTTAGAGTGGTTAAATGACTTATCCAGATCACACAGTCAGAATGGGGCAGAGTCTGCCCTTCCTGAATTCTAAATGCAGTGTTTCCGTGTCGTTAATCCAGTCCCAAGTGCCATTGCTGATTCCTGTGACACTTTAAATCCACAGTGTTACGTGAAAAGAAGGGTTTTATCCTTAACAGCAGCAGTAGACATTTCTGCTGCAATGTTACAATGTCTACCAAACTTAAAGCAGAGCGTATCTGTCAAAAACTACAGTGAGATCATTTCTACTTTGCTGGTACTGCTGATTTCACTGAGACTTCGCTGAACTTTACCTTTCAGCTTCACACTCTTTTTTTTTTTCAACTAGTTTTACATAAAAGTCAAAAAATCCATTCCTGTCCTGTCACACAAAATTAATGCCAACTCTCTTGCTGGAGAATAATATGAAAATGAAAGAATGAAAGTGGCTACACAGAGCTTGATCTCTTTGTCATTTTAAGGGCATGGAAGCCTCCATTTTCTCCACATAAACATAATTTTGTTTCCTAGGCAGCAAATTCTTATGAATTTTGATTTATATATATTTTTTGTTTTCATAGGAACACAAGCACCAAAAGAGAAAAAGAAACCTTAATGTTAAATAAAACACACTGTATTTCCCATACACTGCATACTTTCGCCAGAGGTTTTCTTCCCACGTGCATTTTCAAAAATCGTATTGTATTTACACAGCCTAAGAAGCAAGATCAAGGACACGCTTATGGGACGCCAGAAGTACAGCAGCCTCTAGGTTACAGCTGCAGAGTCCCCGCACCTGATGCATATAGCACCTTCTTGTTTCGTTCTTTCTCTTCCCGAAGTTTCAGACTACCATTCTCCTTCTCAACCAGGTTTGATGTGTATGATTTTCTAGTAGAAAATATAAAATAAAATCAGCAGAGCAGGGTGTTGTCTTAAAAAACAAGCAAGTACGTGTTCTCTCAACTCTAACGGATGGGTCTCTAGTGTGGAATTTAGCATCGTGAGCAACCTTGCAAAATAGGTGGCAGTTTCTGCTTTCTTGTTTGTGGGAGGATGACTCTGCTAGATAAAGGGAAAAAAAAAATCTTGAAAAGACACATATCCTCAGTTCCCACAGAACTACTAAAGAGCTTTGAGTCTTGGAATTACACTGTGTAATAGGTTAACTAATTTTGATAGAAACTGCCATTTCCTCTAGGGAAAATATAAAAACTAGTTATAAAACAAATTAGAAAATGGTGTTAATTTCTGTTCAACAGAAGTGGTTATTTCTATCAAATTCTATTGGCATGAACGAAAAATATACCATTCCAGTTAAGAGATAGAATTTTCTGTGATAGTTTTGTAAACAACACGGAAAAGAACAGCTTTGCTTACAACAACTCTGAGTGTCTACGACCAGTCCATAAGCCACAGGGGAAAAAAAAAATAAAAGGCCCCATTCTGCAATCACATGTTAAATACTTTGCTAATATGAAAGAAATATGAAGTGGAATCCAAGAAAATTTTGTACTTAACATACCCTAGACCTTAAATACTTTGAATTTATTTTTATATCATTTCGAAACCAAAAATACTGAAATTTAAAATTTTTTTTCCAAATTGAAAAAAAAAAAACCACAAAACCCTACTGAAGGCCTTCTCAGATCTATTTTAATGTAAAGTCTGCCCTCTACTGGACAATGTTTTTTTCACAAGTGGTGGACCACCACATTGCTGACTCCAATTGCTAAGCTTTATCAGGTAAAATACACTCTGTACGTTGTTTCTCCCAGGTGCATTCCCTCCTGGCTGTAGCCTACCTACACTCCTCGCTCCACAGAACGTGGCAGCTTTCTTACCCCTTTTCTCAATCTGCCACAGGTTCTCTTCCCTCAAGTGTTGTGTGTTCCTCCAACAGGAAATCAATGACAAGCAAAGGGCCTTTGTGCATGTGTCACAAGAGAATAGCGCCAACTGCTTCGCTCCCTGCAGGGATGTTGCTTACAAAGCCTTCAGCTGGCCCAATGCCACGCTGCCTGGCCATTTTCTGTTTCTGCCATGACTTTTGATCTCGTTATATACTTTAGCAACTACTTCTTCAGCTGTCTTCCCTCTGATTTTAGAATCCTCTTAGCCCAAAACCTCAAAGATTTCCCCGAAGGCTTGCCGTGTATGTGCGTAAAAACTGTCTGGGCTTCTTATGAGGGCTTGCTTCCGTACAACTAATAAATGTTTCAGTTTTTTCTGAAATAACTTATTTGCAATACTTTTTGAGAGGAAATAGATCACTTTTATATTCAGCCCTCTGTATATGGATCTACACACACACACACACACACACACACACACACGCTCACATTTTGGTCTGTCAGATTCTGTTCTCCTTGCCAGGGAACATGTGTTCCTGCAGAATGGAGAGAAGCCACCTCCACCCACCTTGCATATTCTCTCCTGGATCCAAGCTTCTAGGAAAGTTCCCCAAAGAGAAAAAAAATCAGTCTTATAGAGCCACAGT